TCGGCTGGATCCGAGTGCTGTCAGTGAAATAGAGGGAGACAGTGAAAGAGATTTAATTAGTCAGCTGACGTTGTTCGGTTACGTGGTGCCTCTGCTGACTATTGCGTATGAAGAAATGCAACGGATGCTTGAGGGGTCCCCGCGGCGAGCAGTCAAAAGAGAGTTGCTCAATAGCAACGGTCGTTGCCCTCCTTGGTGCTCCTTGGGATGGTCAATTTTCTTCTTGGGCAGAGGAGGGAAATAAAATCAGACAAAATAAATGTTTGAGAAAGGAAAGGGATCCGCAATCAATCCATTTTGCCATCTGCCCGCGTATGCTCTGTACACAAGGCGTCGCACTGGCTCTGCTCTTGGGACCGTCTTTCACTTGTCCCCGCTTTGGCCAAGCAGGAGCGTTTTCAGGTGACGCGACGCCCTAGGTGGGGGTCTGGCGCCAGCGTGGGAGTGGGGGAGACACTTTGGGGGCATTTTCTGTGTTCCCGCAATGGAATACAAACTTGAGAGCTGACCGCTTTAGGAACTGTGATTCCTTTTTTGTGACCGCTGGGGAAGTTGATGCCAGTGGTCTACCAAGCTGTCAGCTCACGTTTGCTCTCTTGGTGCAATTTCTGCCGCAGTTTTAGGGAGACTGGGAGTGTCACTTGTGCTGCCCTTCCCAGAGCGCATGGGACAAGATAAGCTCACAGAGAGGGTTTGTACAGCATTTTGGGAAGACCCAAAGGACCTTTTTTTTCTGAGCGGGGGCAGGGAATGACGCTACCTTAAGTCAGCTGTTAAGAGTGTTAATATGGAGCAGGAGAGTCCCAGGAAGGAGTTTAACGGTGCTGCTTTAGGGTTACATGGACAAGGAAGGGTAAACGAGAACTACAGCGACAAATCACTAAAGCATGGAGACGCCGAGCAGGGAGAGCAAACCGAGGTTGGCGAGGAGTTGCACGCCGTACCGGTGCAGCACGGGTACCGGGGCGGGTTTCCTGGTGGGCGCTCACCCGCGGCCGTTTGTCTTCCCCAGAGCAGGGAGAAGCTGCCCTTCTGGGAGAACGGCACCGGGCGCAAGGAGGCCTGGCAGAACGGCTGGCATGGCTACGACAACGAGCTCCTGGAAATGCGCGGCTTCTTCCTCGCCTACGGGCCAGGTAGGGCCGGCAGCCCCCGGCTCGCTCCCCGGCCTCTCTTCCGGAGCTGGCCTAAACTCTTAATTCTATTTGAAACACGTGAATTTGTCTTGTGTCCCTGGATTGGGACTTGCTAGCCTGGAGCGCTTTCCGGGGGAAGGTTCATGAGATTGCAGCGTACCTCGCCCACCTGCTCGAGGTAGAGGCGAAGCTCCTGATTTCGGCTTCTTCAGGGCCTTTAAACCTTGATGAGTACAAGGCTGTGACTGCAGCTAGGAACGAAAGAAAAGCAAAGTCTGCAATGCAATTACTTCAGGCTATTAACTCTACGAACGCATACGCGGTGAAGTAGCTCGTGTATATTTAATAATTTAATTCACTTTTTTACTTTTTAAAATAAAATGTGATTAAAAGTAAGCATTAAAAAAAATGCATTTTAAATGCTTTTGCTGAGCTAGGTTGTAAATTGCACAGTGTCCCACATCCCTGACTTTTGGTAAGTCCCAGGAAAGGCAAGAAGGGCCCCAGTCCTTGCTTCATAGTGCCCCGGCCTTTCGGAAGCTGAGCCAGAAGTTGCCCGATGCTAAATCCTCTCTTTGCCTATTTTTCTTTCAGATTTCAAATCCAACTTCCGGGCACCGCCAATCAGATCCGTGGATGTTTACAACATCATGTGCAACCTCGCAGGAGTGAAGCCGCTGCCAAACAATGGCTCCTGGTCCAGGGTGGAGTGTATGCTACAAAACACGGCTCCTTTGGCACAGTTGTCCCAGTGGAGCAGCTGTGTGCTGGCATTAATGCTACTCTCACTGTTTGCCTAGCAGATCTTGTCCCTGGGAGCCCAAAACAATGTTGGTCAGTGTCACCAGCAACTTGATCCCTTTTTTTTTTTTTTTAATTCTTCGTTTGAATAACACTTTCATTAATAGAGTACCGTCCCCCACTCATCCGTCATGCTCCACCAGGAGCGAATGTGACCCACCCTGCTGCCGCAGTGGTTATAACAAGAAGCCAAGTTTTGCGCTGCTCTCAGTCCAGCCAGGAAAGCTGATGTTGCTACTCTAGATTTGCAGCCCTGGCAATGAGAGCAGGATCCAGACCAGCTATCAGCGTAATTTGCTATTACGGTGGTAGGCATACGCGGAGACTTCTGGGTGTTAAGCACATCTTACCCCACCATGTGTAACTGAGAGGGTAACCTTGGCTCCTTATAATGAGAAATTGAGGTCTGGCGCTCGGCCTCTGTGAATTTAGCTGTGCTGTGGTTTATTCCCTTATCTCCCGCAGAGCACCACCACCTCCTCTCTGTGCGAACTAAGCACGATATGCACTGACCCTTTCTGCAAAGCACCAAGCTCTTTGCGGATTGCTCCGCAGTGCCACGAGAGGTAGGAGAGCACCGAGAGCATCGTACTTTTCTCAGCCTTTCCATCTTTGTTTTCGCCAAAGCGAGCCCCAGCTGGCAGACCCGGCCCCTGTCCTCTGCCAGGACCTCGGGCTTTCATGGCCGATCGCAGGCGAGGGGGGAGAGCAATGGAAATATAGGGGGAGAATGAAATGGCATTTGGACACACAGAGTTCAGGAGAAAGTACCGTAAGGAAGCCTGGCGTTTCAGAGCCTCTTTGCTCTTCCTGGTGAAACAGTATCATCTGCTCAGGTTTTTGCTCTGTCCCCAATTGCTCTTCAAGATTTTCAACACCTACTGCTTTTCTGCCAGCTCCGGTTTTCTGCGTCTCTGCCATTTAAGCAATGCAGTAAGCAGCACGTTCCCCTGCTGTTTTTCTTTAGCAGCTGTATTTGCAAGAGGGAAA